ATGTTTCAGATGCTAAATGTTCATATAGAAGAATGAAGGATGTTTTAGATATTCACATAGGAATACTAATAATATAATCAATATGAGAAAGTCTGTAGAAAAGGCTTAATTTCTGGATCTGGTTCTTTCTGTTTCAAATTATACAACAAACAAAATTTTCTAAGGATGGGAAGACTTCTAGGATACATTGTTATAGTGAATGTGATGTTTCATCTGTAAGGAGGTGATAACTTTGGAATATTTTACCTGAGTCAATTTGCAATGGAAACTACTAGATGGGTCTCCATAGTGTAATACTTGCTGAAATGAATGATGCAGTCTGTGGGTACTATATGAAAACAAACATCCAGAGAAATTGTGCTGTAAATTTCCATCAGATTTTCTAAAATCTCCAGGAGAATGTGTAGATAATCTTAACAAAATACATCCTTCTTAACCACTCCCAATACTAAGAAGTATAACTCAGATAAATTCAAATTATAGATTTTTTTTCAGACTCCATCTGAAGATGAACAAATTTAACCCAACAGTTTCCATATCAGTCTGCGAAAAGGCAATCATGAGGAAGTCAGAGAAATTGGTTTTAATTTTATATATGAAATTTTTATAGATAGAATTTCAAAAGGATATCCTCTTCCATCCCTAGCCCCTAAGGTAAAACTGAAGCTGTTGAACACATAACTTAATAATTATTTGAGAATAAGGTGGGTCATATTTAATAAATATTCATCAATAGTTTACATGTGCCGGACTCTGCATGATAAAATGCACAAAGCCCGTAGTTTTGTGGAGCTGACTGAACACCTGAACCAGAGTTACCACACAGTATGAGTATCATGGTAGCAGAAGAGGCTGCACAGGGAAACAGTTCTACCATGGGCAGCTCAGTGGAGCTAGAATTGCCAGATGCTGAGATGCATAGCAGCTCAATTTGAACTATAACATAGAAAGTTCACTAATCACATGTCACATTCAAAACCATTCTGGAATTTTTCTCCTGATATTGCCCAATCTCAACTTTAAATTTGATGGAAATATTATAGTGCTTCTGGTTCCCCTTTTGACCTTAAATGAATTCTTCTTTATATACCAGCCAGTACCTTCTCATTTATTTATTCATTTTATTAGCTTTTATTGAACCAAACTGTGCTATGCATCAGGAAGAGAAATAATAATAACAATAATTCCACAGCATTAAAGTCAAAACTTAATGTGGAATTGTACTGATAATTATGATACAGTTAAGTATCAAGATAAAAATAATTATAGGCTGTGCTTGGCAAGCAAAGAAGCTGACCTAACCCTTTTTGTGGACTACAGTATAGGTGGTCAGCAATAGCATCTTGAAGGATGTCATTGTACCCGTAATTGTGCTAAGAATATTCAGTGAGGAGGAGGATGAGGGTTTCTTTCTGTGCTCTCTTTTCTCCTCTGGGACCTTAGGAATAAAATCGTGCATAGCAACAATGATGAGGCATTTTTGGCTTTCTCTTCACAGGAAGGAGAGGTAGATTGCTGGCCACTAACTTGCCCCAATTTGAGCTGTGAGTACACAGCCATCTCAGAAGGTGAATGTTGTCCACACTGTGTCAGTGACCCCTGCCTGGCTGATAACATCGCCTATGACATCAGAAAAACTTGCCTGGACAGCTATGGCATTTCGAGGCTTAGTGGTTCAGTATGGACAATGGCTGGAGCTCCCTGCACAACCTGTAAATGCAAGGTAAATGGATGTTCTAAAAATTTTCAGACCTTGAACAATTGCCAGACAGCACTTGCAGGAGGTCCACTCTGGATGTTTCTGAATGCATGGGTTCCATGGGGCATTGTGGAAACACAAGCAGGCATTTACTTCTCACAGGAGGTTAATATGTCTGAATGGATCATAGCTACACCTTGCATAAAGGCGAATTCCAACTAAACATGGAATAAAATAATTTCTTGCCTTTAAACTAAATTCTAACAATTGACTGTAGGCCCAATTATAATTGATTTTGACCTGCATATTAAAGGAAGGAAGGAAAGAAGGAAGGAATTTACTTCTTTGTAAGTTCTTTTATGAAACTGTAAATGTTAGAAAAAAAAAGTGCTCTGTGAAGTTGCTTGCTTTAATTATCAGAGTGCTTAATGTGGGGACCTACAGGTCTTGCTACAGCAGTTGATTAGCTATGATTATTTCCCTGTCTTTCTGGAGAAGTTCCCATGAGATATCTTCATATGTCTTTAAGATTAAAACATGACCCCCTCCCTCTCTTCAAAGTTCATGAAGAGCTGTGACTATAGCCGATTTGGAGCAATGGTTAGTCAGTGTCGAATTCTTTGCCAAGACATCTGTTTAAAATTCCCATGATTAATCATTAAAAATACTAGTCTACTATCTCCCTTCAAACCCTGGCTCAGCTTCAGGCATCAGTGGAAGGTTTCCAACTTGCCTCTTTATGTTGAAATAAGTGTGGATTTTTTCTCTTTCTTAAAAAGTACCATCTTAAGATGCAACCCCAATAGAAAAAGGAAAATATCAGACTTCATAGAGCAAAAGAACCATGGTCCCATTTGTACCTTCAGCCCAGAAAACTAAATTTAGAACAGGAGATGTAGAGACCTGTGTCATTTAATATTATGTCTTTGATGTCAGCTTTGAGATCCATTAAGGGGACTTATAAAGGTATATTTACATTAATACATAAACTTGATTTTTAATAAATTTCTAAGAATTTATATATCTGAATATGCACTCTTCTCTTAATAGTTACCATGAAAGACTTTATATTCATCCCTAATATGCAAATCTTTCTGGAACCCANTCCCTCTCTTCAAAGTTCATGAAGAGCTGTGACTATAGCCGATTTGGAGCAATGGTTAGTCAGTGTCGAATTCTTTGCCAAGACAACTGTTTAAAATTCCCATGATTAAACATTAAAAATACTAGTCTACTATCTCCCTTCAAACCCTGGCTCAGCTTCAGGCATCAGTGGAAGGTTTCCAACTTGCCTCTTTATGTTGAAATAAGTGTGGATTTTTTCTCTTTCTTAAAAAGTACCATCTTAAGATGCAACCCCAATAGAAAAAGGAAAATATCAGACTTCATAGAGCAAAAGAACCATGGTCCCATTTGTACCTTCAGCCCAGAAAACTAAATTTAGAACAGGAGATGTAGAGACCTGTGTCATTTAATATTATGTCTTTGATGTCAGCTTTGAGATCCATTAAGGGGACTTATAAAGGTATATTTACATTAATACATAAACTTGATTTTTAATAAATTTCTAAGAATTTATATATCTGAATATGCACTCTTCTCTTAATAGTTACCATGAAAGACTTTATATTCATCCCTAATATGCAAATCTTTCTGGAACCCATCTTGGCTTTGCCTTCAGATTCTTGTGGTACTTTTGATTAGCTTTTAAGTGGCAAATTGCCATTTTAATCCCTTTCAGGGATTTATATTTGGAAAGAATCTCAACTGGAATATGTCCAGCAAGTAAGTTGTATAAAAACAAGAAAATACCACAGAGGTGTCCCAGAAATGGATTGAGTGAAGGTGGGATGTGAAATTGCATGGCTAGACAGCCCCAGCAAGAGGGACCCTGGAGGTTCCATTAATCCTTCCTTCCCTTCCACTCCTTCTCTAGTTTTTCTTCTGTCAGGTTTTCTAGTCATCGTTATAGCATTTTTAGAGTTTTTCTCAAAGGCAGAAGGTCATTTTGAATATAAAAATTGCAGACTGCTAATTAATTTATATTCTATGTCTCCATTAGCTAACACTTGTGTCTTTAATATACAGAATGGGAAAGTCTGCTGTTCTGTGGATTTGGAGTGTCTTCAAAATAACTGAAGTATTTAAAATTGACTCATCACAGGAGAAAAATGGACAAAATGACCATCCGACATGATGAAGAATAGAATTTGGTGTGGTTGTTTTGTTTGTTTTTTTGTTTGTTTGTTTTTTACCACAGACAATTACCAAAGTCTCCATCTGAAAAGGGTGTTTGTGGGTTGCCTTTGGACCTACCACTTTGCTCCTTCTTGCTAACCTCGTCTAGGTGACCTACAGTGCAGTGCATTTAAGTCTATGGCTGTTAAAAAAAAAAAAAAAGTTTCCCGTGTCGTAAATCACATGTTTCCCTTATGAGATCATTGGCAAACACATTTAAATGATCTTATGGTAAATGTTGATGTATTTTTTTATTTATTTTGTGTACCAACATAAGAGACTTGTCTCCTTTTATTTATTTTTTCTTGATTTTTGGATCAAATTCTAAAAATAAAGTTGCCTGTTGTGATTTTGTCCCATCCACTGCATACTTAGTACTGAAATCCCTGTAAAATGTTTTGGTGAAAATATGTATGTAGAGTCCAGTTGCATCATACTTGTATTTCAAACTGTCGAACACACTTGGATGTCTACTCATTCACCTTAAACAGGCTGAAGGCAATTACTATATGTTAAAGAGGGGAAGGACCACAAACATAATTCAGCAATTCTTTTTAAAAAGACCCTCTCTTCCCTATCACAAAAAAACAAATGAACAAACTATTAACTCACAATTTAGAAGCAGCAATGCTTTAAAGCC